AAACCGCATGCTGCCGTCCTTCTTCTTTACCAGCACCACAGGTGAACACCATGGACTAGATGAAGGTTCAATATCACCATCCTTCACCATTCCCTCAATCATGGTTTCCACTTCCTGTTCACGTGCTACAGGCAATCTTCTTGGCCGCTGACGAATAGGCAATTCTTGTCCTGTGTTTATTTTGTGTTGAACTAAGCCAGTCTTTCCTATGTCAGCTTCGTTTGACGAGAAAACATTGGCGTACTTGAGTAACAACTTCTTCGCCTTGACCATTTCATTCGGGGAAAGAACGCTGCGACAGTCTTCTAAAAGTGTGGTCACTATCGTTTGTCCATCCTTGCTGGGGGTCCCGGTCGATAGATATTCGCATCGACGCAACCAATCCACTTCCTCACTAGTACCAACCAATGTGCCTTTTTCTATAATCTGATCCTGATCACAAAGGTTCAACACACGTACTCCTGAGATGTCGGTGGTTCTGACCAAGGTTCGAGCCACTTTCCATGGAAGGTCATTGTCTACCCTTTCCACGAGTACACAACGATGAGCTTGCCCAGGACTCCGAGGAAGACTAACCGGCACAATCGTTTCCGATCTCGGCGGAAGAACAATCTTCTTAAGGCTGTACACATTCCCTGGTAACGCCCCTTCCACGAAAAGTTCTTCTTGTCCACATTTCAAAACACCTTGCTTAACGTCGATCTCACAACAATTCTTCCTCATAAAGTCTAGGCCCAGGATGCAGTCGTCCATTATATCAGCCACGATGACATTATGCAGGTAGATCATGTTGCCTAGCTTCAACTCCATCTCCTTCTCTCCACGGACGGGTATGCGCTGACCGGTGGCTGTCACCAAATTAATGCGTTCTCGGTTGTATGCGGAGTCCCCAAGGAACCGACTTATAAGTTGGGAACTGACAACCGTGCGAGAGGCTCCAGTGTCTATGGTCAGTTTACACGGCGTTCCGTTGACTTCACCCTTGATGATTAGGCTGTTCCCATCATGGGTTTGTGAGATCGAAATCCTTGGGGCTCTTTTAACATCAGCCAGCACCCGCCCCGCAGTCCTGGCTTTTACTCGTTTCCCTGCTGCTGCTGGGCGGTGCTATTATCCGCACTACCCTCTCGAGATCGATCACCTTCCCTTTCTACAGTTCGTTTAGGGCAGCTGGATCGAAGATGGCCCCTTTCCCCACAGCCGTAGCACCTAGGGTTGTAGCCCTTATTGCGGTCCTGAACTGTAGCTGCTGCAACCTCCCTGACGCGGTGGGAACGATGATCCTGCCGCACGGCTTCCACCTCCAGTGCATGGGTCAGGGCGTCCTTAAGCGTCTCGTGGTGCCCGAGCCTCACAGCAGCTCTGACTTCAAGGTCGCGGATGCCGTCGATGAAAGTCTGCACCAGGTTCCCTACAATGAGCACAGGTACAGACTGGTACGCTTTTCGAACCAGCTTCTCCACCTCAAGGGCCCACTGCTGCAGGTTTTCGTTACTGCGTTGCACGCGATCTTTGAGCTGCGCACGAAAGACGTGTTCCAAGTGAGCATCGCCATATCTCGCCTCCAATGCCTCAAGGAGCTGCTCGTAAGTCACTTCCTTACCGAGCGCTTCCAAAACAGTTAAGGCCTGGTCGCGTAGGCCTAGGGTGAGAGCAGTCATGGCCTGACTTTTATTCCAGCCGTTCGCTTTCATGACAGCCTCGAACTGGATTTTGTAGGCCGACCAGGAAGAACTCCCGTCGAACGGCGGCACTTTGAATCCACGTAGCGAAGGTGTTGTAGCTACCACGGGAGCTGTGATTCCATCCCCAAGTTTGAGGTCGTCCAGCGTTTTCTTCACATCAGCCATCACGTTGTCAACCCGATTGTTCACTTGGTCGATTCGGGTTTCAGCTTCCGACAGGCGGTTGTCATGTTGAGCAACCCTATCCTTCACCTCCTTTATCTCTTTCCCGAAGGTAGCGTGAAGGTCCTTCCTGAGGAGCATCTGTTCTTCCATACCGCGCTGCAGCTGCTCTTCCAGCCGACGGGTCTGTTCCTCCTGTCGGCGGGCCTGTTCCTCCTGTCGGCGAGCCTGATCCTGCAGCATCATCATCAGAGCACTTAAGTCAGGTGCTGCAGATGCAGGAGCTGCTGACGGGCCAGCCTCCGTGGTTAGCAACCGGCCCTCCGACGTTTGCGGCGTTGCATTACCAAATCGTCTCTGGTCCGTCTCCTGTTGGCGTTGACTTCGGGTACGGATACCCTCCGTGTCGTCTTTAGGTAAAATCGGCATATTTGATCCCACTTCTGACACCAATTGTTACGAGCTTGAGGTTCGAGACAATTAAAAACTGCCGATTGAATTACCAAAATTGACACTTTAATTACACAACACTAATTACAATCTAAAATCACACTAATAATAACACACAGTTCGCCGTTATTTCGCTTCGAAGTATTCTCTTGTATCGCCAATTCAATACTGCCTCGGTCGTGGTCTATACCGGCCTTATATAGGGCCTCAGATAGTTTCCAGAATCTTCTACTGTAGCGACATCTAGAATGTTCGAGTACATTTCGGTCCCGAAATTTCTGGAAGGATCTTGACTCTCCTAGTTCTGCTACTCGACACTAGAGGGCGCTAGTGTACCTAGTGTTGCCATGTACAAGACATTAATAGTGGCACGCAATACTTTCATTTACTCGACACTAGGGGGCGCTAGTGTAACTAGTGTTGCCATGTACAAGACATTAATAGTGGCGCGCAACAATATTATCGAACATCACGAGTCCTCGAAATATGTATATTCAGGTTGCTTCGATCCTGCCCGTTTAAGTTTTATGCAAACTAAAACCCATGACAGCTTGCTTATTCATTAAACTATTTTTTCGGATTCTGCTTTTATGCTGTATAGATGTTACATTACTCCTGTTATGCAAATTAAAAACCATCGATATCATACCATCGTCACTCACACAAACCGCCGTCAATAGTCATCTATCGATATTATCGATAATACTGACCACTTTGTCTGCATTACTAATTCCATATATACAAAAGTACACTGTGATTACCGACGTCTGATATTCCTCTTTTGGAGTTTTGGCGGGAACTTGCCCGGCGGCGGTTTGCTGCTCCTGTATTATTGTTTAAGTAATGGTTTGAAGTGGATTTTGATATGTAAAAGTGGTGCAATTTTGTATATTAATTGTCTGCGCATGTGAACTATTAGTCGAAATGGTGAAACAAGTGCACTGATGGTGATGTGATTCTCAAGATAAAGTGTCTGTCTGCTTAGGCGCCTTGAGATACCATCGCCAACTGTCAGCTATCTGCTGGCTCAAGTTTCCGTCAAAATATCCCAAGGGCTGCAGAATGTGACGCATCCACATATTGTGAAGCAGTGTACTATGAAGGATAATTATTAATTACATAGGCTGTACTAAAAGTATCGGGAATGGAATATTTCCACTGTTCCTGTCATATTAAAATCTTTTTAATTGAAAATTTCTTGGTTTTGAAAATCGAATACCATTTATTTATTTAAAAAAAGATTCTCGGTCTTGTCACAAGGTTTTGTCAAACTTGTTTAGTCGTTGAGAAAAGGGAATTGACTCGAGAAAATTCAAGAGCGATGATTTATTATGACTTTCGAAGTAGTTTAACATAAAAACAGTGTGTTGACCGGATGATTTATGCATTTGGTGATGAAGCCCCATCCAAAACCACAATTTATCGCTGGTTTGCTGAATTTCAACGTGGACGTGTCAAGCTCAGTGATGATCCCCGTCAAGGTCGTCCAAAAACTGCAGTCACCCAAGAAAACGTTGATGCTGTGCGTAAGCTGATTCAGGAAGATCAACATGTGACATACATACCGCGAAATTCAGGCAACTTTAGACATTGGTATGAGTTAAATACAAATAATCTTGCATGAACAATTAGGTGTCAAAAAGTTGTTTTTCCGATGGATACCGCATTCGCTCTGTGAAAAGCAAAAAGCGGCTCACGTTACTTGGTGCGTCGGAACTCTCGAAAGATTCCACGCAGGATCCTCAAATGCTGTATACAACATCGTATCAGGTGACGAATCTTGGATAAACGCGTACGAACCCCAAACAAAAAACCAGTCACGAGTTTGGGTGTTCGAAAATGAGTTAAAGGCAACAAAAATTGTTCGTTCACGGAGTGTTGCAAAAAAAATGGTGGCCACGTTTGTCTCCAAAACCAGCCATGTTACGGCTATTCCTCTTGAGGGACAAAGAACGGTTAATGCAGAATGGTATGCTGGCATTTGTTTGCCACAGGTCGTTTCTGAACTGCGTAAAGAGAACTGCAACCGCCGCATCATCCTCCATCACGACAATGCGAGTTCTCATACCGCACACAGAACAAAAGAGTTTTTAGAGCAAGAAAACATAGAATTATTAGACCATCCGCCATACAGCCCCGACCTAAGCCCTAATGATTTCTATACTTTCCCTAAAATAAAGAATAAATTGCGTGAACAGAGACTTTCATCACCTGAAGAACCTGTGGACGCCTACAAAACGGCTATTTTGGAGACCCCAACTTCCGAATGGAATGGTTGCTTCAATGATTGGTTCCATCGTATGGAAAAATATGTTAAATTTCGCGGAGAATACTTCGAAAAGCAATAAATACATTTTTAAATAGTAATGTTGTGTCACTTCCTTGATTCCCGAAATTTTCAGTGTCGCCCTCGTATACATTGTAACTTCAGGCTCAGAAGGGCTAGAAGCCAGAGCTGTAAAGCCAGTTATAAAAAAATTATTGATTTTACGTTTGTATTTGTATTGATTTTCTATACTTAAGTATAGTTTGTGTCATAGACTAATATATTATTGATTTTTATTGTGATTGACGTTCTGAACCTTCTAAACTTTTATAAATACAAAGGAGTGTGTTGGAGTTGGTAAGATTTGTTTACGACATTTAATTTAATTTTGTTCATCTATAAGCGTTTGATTTCAATTTGACATGTAGATGAACAGAATGGGGTCGCCGTCGGTTGGAATGGAAGAGGATAACGGCGCCGGTCACGCATTGAGCGACTTTCTTTTGCAGTTGGAAAACTACAATCCCTCCATACCAGACTCTGTTGTTGCATATTACCTGAATGCTTCTGGCTTTGAGTCTCAGGATCCCAGGTGAGCGTCAATTTAATATATTATATTATCGTATGTTTATACATTTTCATTCAGCACTTGCATTTAAGTGCTAACGATTATATTCTGGATATATTGTTATTTTTGTATATTTTTATTTATTATCTGTATTCATTCTATAAAGAGTGTGCATCATTATGAATGTACAACAAATTGTGTATATAGGACTCATAGAACTTTGTGTTTGCGATGGGCATACACGAAGTTTACTTTTTGTGGTAGAGCCATGCTGCAGCTATATTTGTAGTATAGTTGTACCACAAATGGGTCGGCTCGACCGGGGAAGGACCACGCTCTCACAGAATACCAGCGTAAAATAGCAGCTTGACGCTGCTGTGTTTTGTATGGTGAGTGTAGAGAACCGGAGACCTAATTTACTTGAAAAGAGGCATTCTATCTTAGTCCTCATGGGTGACGACGCATCTGTATTTTGATTCTTTGTTGAGGATAAATGTAGATATGGGCCGCAGCTACCACTTACCATCAGGTGGACAGTGTGCTCTTTTGTCACCCTATCCTATAAAAAAAAAGAAATTGTGGAAGTTCTACGTAATTAGGATGTATTGTTATTAGTTGGGTATGACTTTCCATTGACGTTCGTCGAATTGAGGTTGATATTTTTTTTACAGAAAGGTTACATTATTATAAGCACACGAAAAGTTTCAACATGCGAAAATGCGTACTTTTTGAGAAAAAAATTATTGAAAATTTATAATTTTTGCAATATTTATGCCAATCCCCATTGACATCCGTCGAAGTGGAGGTTGATTTTTTTTTTACAGAAATGTTACATTATTATAAGCACACGGAAAGTTTCAACATTCAGAGACATGCTTTTTGAGAGAAAAAATTATTGAAAATCAACTATTTTTGCAATATTTATGTCAATTGCTACCGTAAAACTGACACCATTTTGTATTGTCGTCAGTAGGGATGTCGATTCTTTCCGAAAAAGTTTGATTTTTTTAAATCAATTCGAAGTGTACGCTGATGTATCGATTCACAAAAAATCGATTTCTAAATATCTATATTTTTTTATGTTTGCATTTATAATGTAAATAAATCCATTTTATGAGAAAAAAATCCCCTTCATCATAAAAAAATAGGGGGACTGATTCAGAAGGATTTCTGTATCTATTTTGAGACTGCTACGTCTCCGGCGCTGCGGGAAGAGCAGCCTCTACGCCTTTGCGTAACAAATTGCAGGCATCGTTCGACTACGATTTGTTACAGCAGGCGGAGGCTGCTCCCCCTACGCGCCTCTGTCTCTATAAAACCACTCTAGGGGTAGGACAGACTCGTACCAGGTCGGGGTTACCGGGGTCAATCAATTCGGTTCTTTGACTTAAGTTGAACCTAACCTATTTTATTTGTTATCTGCCCTAATAGGTACTGTTAAAATAAAACAAATTTCAATAAGAGATCATTTATTATGGTATCTTTCTTGTTTTTCATAAAATGGATTTATATTTACATTATAAATGCAAACTTGAAAAAATATAGATATTTTAGAACTTGATTTTTTGTGAATCGAAAACTTACGATTCGAATTGATTTAAAAATCGATCTTTTTGGAAAGATTCGACATCCCTAGTGACGATAAGAATGACAATACAAAATAGCATCAGTTTTACGGTAGGAAATAGGGATTGACATAAATATTGTAAAAATAATTGATTTTCAATAATTTTTTTCTCTAAAAGTATGCGTTTCCCCATGATGAAACTTTGCCTGTGTGCTTATAATAATGTATCCTTTCTGTAAAAAAATATCAACCTCCAACTCGATGGACGTCAATGGAAAGCTAAACCACTAGTTGTGTGTGAAATAATTGTTAATTGTTATTACTATTGAGCTGATTGTAACTTTAATCTTTATCAATTAGAGTCCACGGATTTAGTACAATATTTCTGTTTATTATATTAGGGAGGATTTGCCATCCTTGTTATAACAGGAATGAGAAGGCTCAACCTGGATAGGAAGTAAGATATGTATAATATATTCATATGGTGAGTGTAGAGAACCGGATACCCTTTTCACTGGAAACAAGGCATTCCATCTTAGTCCGCACTGGTGACAATAATAATAATAATAATTTCTTTCAGATAATCAAGTGATCCATAAAATTTGTTAGTAAATATGAAATTTATAACCTATGTTAGTACCTAAATCTAATTCTTAAATACAAGTGCCTTATTAACTAAACATAGGTGGTAATATTGCTTAAGGAGGAATGAGTGGTATCTTTCAGTAATTATTTTCATGATGGAGTTGGAGCTAGCCCGCACTCTGCAAAACAACGAGGCTGTTTTCTTTCTTATAAGGGCGTAATAGTGATCTGTACGCGCCTTTGCAAACATGCCTGATTCACTGCAAAATCAGGGTAACCTCAACAAGATCCTTAAGCCATTATTGTACCGTACACGTAAGGTGTCAACAGTTTGCTGTGAATAATTCGACCACACGTGTAGAAAACTTGACAGTACACTTTAAATAGTGCTACCTTTACTTGTTACACTACACCGCGCAAACCTACGTTCCAACATATTACATCGGACTGCCAGCGTCCTACGTTTTTTCAATGTCAACATTGTCATTTAGGTCATCGGTAACAAAATGCCCTAGGTACTTAAATTTATCAACATGTTTTAATTCAATGCCATTCAATTTAATTGCAGGCACATTTTCTGGGCTTTTAAAGCCGACTGCCCTAAACACCATGAATTCGCTTTTATTACCATTGTATCGCAAGCCATGGTTTAACACATACTTCTCACATATCTTGAGGAGTTCTCTGGTAGCCTTAACCGTGGGACTCAGCAACGCCATATCATCTGCGTAACTTATGTTATTAAAACTTACATCGTCGATACGACATCCGACTTTTTTGCTGCTGAGTTCAACGATTAGGTCATTTATGTACAGGTTGAAAAGCTTTGGTGACGTAATTCCTCCCTGTCTGACCCCACATTGCAATCTGTACCTTTCAGAAAACTTATCGGCCCATCTCACATTATTATACTGATTATTGTACCAGTACTGAAAAATCTTCAAAAGCTCAGCTGGAATCTTCTTCTGGCGTAGCTTCTCTCATAATAAGTCATAATTTACGAGATAAAAAGCTCCGGAGAGATCTTAAAAACATGCATATACAGGTGTATGTCGCTTTGTGTAATATTCAACAGTGTGCTTTAGGGCTAAAATAGCACTCCCAGTAGACAATTCAGACCGAAAACCCAAACTGTGCATTGTGCAACTCAATATAACTTTCCAGCTGTGTATCCAACAGGCTGTCAAGTATTTTAGCAATAATTGTTGCCAGAGATATAGGTTGATAATTACACTTATCTCCTACGTCACCTGTTTTGTTTTTAACTATAGGCACAACTATTGTCCGCATAAGGTCGTGAGGTAGATACGAATAACAGAGACATGAAGAGAGGAATGTAGCAAGTAAGTGAGGTCCGGCATGCTGCCGGTGCTCGATGCTGAGAGAATCATGGCTGGGAGATTTCCCCCTAGTCATATTTTTAATGGCAGTTGCCACTTGTTCAGGTGTAAAATGAATGAAGTCATGATTGCCATGATAGCTCTCATCTCCGGGCACCGGCTGCGACGGACCTAGCAACTACTCTATTTTAAAATGCTCTGAAAACATATCAGCTATGCTAATAGGTTCGTTTACACCTCCAACGAACACAGGCAAGGTAGGCTTAATATCAAGTTTGTTGTCGGCTTTCCAGAATTTTTTGAAATTATTTGCCTTATGATGTGATGTGTGTTCTGACACCATTTTAGTACACTCTTAAATATTGTACGTGTTAGGCACATATCGTCATATATAGGACCACTAGTTGGTTTGTTATGCCACAATCATATGCAATATTTAAACCTTAGCCATCACATGTGCTTCCCTCACATGTGTGTTCAAACCTACAATATGACCACTATGCTTACAACGTCTATGGTCATCATAACTCTGTATAGCGGCTTCAGATAAAATAGTAACAATATTATTGTACATTTCATCAAGCATTAAGCTATGATGAGTATTGTTACATTGTGAATTATAACATACTCAAGTTCGTCACACATATCATAATATACTTCAATCCGATCACTGATCCTTTCGCCCCATATTACTTTGTTACATGATTTTATCGCAACTTCTGATTTCGTTTTAATAGTGTCTAACCTGCACTCAACAACAAAGGGGCAATGATCAGACCAGAATACATCATAAAATATTCTTATGTTACTTATAGTGTGCCAAGCAGCATGTGTGACAATGCAATGGTCAAGCCATCGCTTACAGCCATGTACATTACTGACAAATGTATAGTTATCAGAATCTATACCTAACTTTTCAATGCGGACAAATCCAATTTCGTTCAGAACAGAATTTTAAAAGTTCAAGTCCAAAAGACTCACCCGAATGAGCATTAAAATCACCAAGGACGTACACTGCTTCCACGTCACAACTTTCTATTATCGCGCTTACCTCATTAAGACATTCAGTGAATTCTGTTAGGTTATCACTCGCGTCTGTCCGCATGTATACACAAAACACTAAAAAGTATTTGTCACCGAGGGATACTTTTATTGCTGCTAGCCGCACACTAGCACAGTTTATTACTGTGAAAAAAAAACATATAAACACTCACGCCTGTCACCCAGAGGGGTAGGCAGAGATTATGGACTTCCATTTGGCACGATCCTGACACACCTCTCTCGCTTCCTCCACATCCATATACCTACGCATACACGCTCGTCGGTTAAAAGTACTCTTGATTTGGCCCATTTTTAATATATCGCCAATTTGGTCGATAAACTTTCGCCTAGGGCGACCCTTCCCGACTATGCCGTTCACCTCTGCAACATAAATTTGCTTTGTCACTCTTTCCTCATTCATTCTTTCTACATGGCCAAACCACCGAAGCATTCCTTTCTTAATCCTGGTCACAATATCATCTTGCAAACCACACTCTTCTCTTATTAAACAATTTCTCACTCTGTCATTCAGCTTCATCCCTAACATACTCCTTAATGACCGCATTTCTACCGCATTTATTCTACTCTCATGCTTCTTCTGCCACACTCAACTTTCACTACCATACATTAAAGTAGGTACTAACACAGCATTGTGAATTGCCATACGTGCCTTTTTGGACACATTCTGACTGACTCAAAAGCTCCTTTGCGCCACCAAATCGCCACACCACCATACGGTCGGCCTTTGAGTATGCCCTCTGATATGTTCACAGCTGATTTTCCTGTGTATTCAAAATCTTGATGTATCTTAGCAAGGTATGGAATATCATAGGGAAGCAACCACGTTTCCTGGATAGCAACTATATCGAATTTTTGACACAGAAACTTAACTGCATCAATTGAGCGTTTCACAGATTTGCAATTAAAACAGGCTAATTTAGTTGTCTGCATTTTGATTCGTAATTGAGGTTAGATGTATGCCTATGGGCCACAGCAACCACTTATCATCAGGTGGACTGTGTGCTTGTTTGTCACCCTTATCCTATATAAAAAAGGTTATTATAATATAAATTAATACATAGCTTGGAAGCGACCATCTCATTCCCAGGGGTTGTTATCAACCGTTTCTAATTTAAATTTTGTAAATAGTTTGTACAACCTTTCATGTAAAATTTAGTTTAAAAAAAAGTCCCGCTGGGTTTCTTGCTGGTTCTTCCCAGGACAGAATTATTCCGATTATATTAATAATTAAGCGTTAAGCTGTTATTTTACGCTGGTATTCAGTGAGAGTGTGGTCCTTCCCCGGTCGAGTCGATCCATTCGTGCTACAACTATACTACTAATCTTTATATATAAAAATTACGTGTCACATTGTTTGTCCGCAATGAACTTCTAAGCTATTGAATATATATATATATATATATATATATATATATATATATATATACTATAGCTCTACCACATATAACTGCTCCAAACGTCGACATTCCGTTTTTTCAACCGACTTCAAAAAAGGAGGAGGTCCTCAATTCGTCGGATTCTTTTATTATGTATGTTCACTGATTACTCGAAGACGCCTGAACCGATTAATGATGATGATGAACCTTATATTTTCTACCGACTTCAAACAGGAGGAGGTACTCAATTCGACTGTATGTTTTTTTTATGTGTGTTACCTCATAACTTCTTTCTGGGTGAATCTATTTCAATGATTCTCTTTTTATTTGAAAGCTGGTGCTTCTCATGTGGTCCCACATCAATTTGATCAAGATCCGATCAGTAGTCTTTGGGTTATCCTTAATAATGTGTATTAATTGACTTCCGACTGCATTGATAATGATCACATTTATTTATATTGAAGTTGGTTGTACAAAATTTTTAATTTTACCATTTGTTAAAATACTTCTTTCTCCATGCCACGCTAAAATGGCCGTTTCCTTTTACATTAACTTTGTTCCTTAAAAAGGAAAAAAGTACTTAGGTGTAATGTGATTTTCTCAAATTTCAGGTTAATACGTCTTATTGCACTGGCTTCACAAAAATTTCTATCCGACATTGCAAATGATGCTCTTCAACATTGCAAGATGCGAACCTCCAGCCAGATGACACAGTCATCAAAGAACCAAAAGGGGCCCAAGGAGAAGAAGTATGTTATGACCATGGAAGATCTTGTGCCGGCGCTTCAGGAGTATGGCATCACCGCGAAGAAGCCGCATTACTTTGTTTAATGGGGAACTTAGACTGTCCATTGTATGCTGTAGGTGCATTTAAAGTGTGGGTTATATTGTGTTTTAAATGTTAGAATTACGTAGGCAAAATATCATTGTATGTAATATGTAAGTATTAATAAAGTAATTAATCAATATCAATTAGTACTATGTATTTTTGTAAAATTATTTATTGGTATAAGATTCATCTCTACAGGATTACGAGACAAGACATTTATAGAATATTGATGACAAACGAGCACACAGTCCACCTGATGGTAAATGGATGATGTGGCTTACATTTATCTTCGACTAGCTGTTCCCCGCGACTTCGCCCGCGTGTAATTTAGGGTTTTAATTATGTTGCGCGGAACCCTAATTATTTTTCTAAAATATAAGTAGCCTAAGTTACTCCTTATAACATCAGCTATCTGCCAGTGAAAGTCCCGTCGAAATCGGTCCAGCCGTTTCGGAGATTAGCCGGAACAAACAGACAGACAGACAAAAACTTTAAAAATTGTATTTTTGTTATTAGTACCGTATGTACTTTCATATGCATTTAGTAAATAGCTGGTATTTTGAAATTACAAACAGACACTTCAATTTTATTTATTTGTATAGATTAAGAATCAAAAATCAAAATGCAAGATGCATTGTCATCCCTGAGGACTAATTTGGAATGTTTCATTTCCAGTAAAAAGGGTCTCCAGTTCTCTACACTCACCTTACAAAACACAGCAGCATTAAGCTGCTATTTTACGCTGGTATTCTGTGAGAGTGTGGTCCTATCCCGGTCGAGCCGACCCATTCGTGCTACAACCATAATATAACTGCAGCGTGGCTCTACCACGTTTGATAATTAACATTAAAATTATATTTTAAAGTCTGGTGATGGTGTTATAGCCCATAGTTTGTAAATCAATTGTTCGGTTTTTCGGTCAAGAAAAACCCAGTAGCAGCCAGTACCAGGAATTTGGAGATGTTTCAATCCGTGCCACGGAAAGCACGTAAAGCCGTTGGTCCTGTGCCTGGTCTCAGGTGGTGTCGGATAAACATCCCATCGGACTATGAAATTGAGAGGACAGTGTTCCTGTGCTTGTGCATACAATCCGGCACTATAATATCGTGTACTGTGTAGATGGTTAGTTGGTGAATGTTCAATGAGAGTGGCCGTTGTGGCTGAAATTCGGTCTGGAGGACATAATATTATAGGCTGTCATTGATGGCAGACAACTATCCAATTGTCCATACATTATGCCAAATATTTATGAAAAGCAGAGATAGTAATTCCAACGATTAATCTAAGCTTCAATAGAGGGAAGGTGAAACCGGAAAAGGCAGCACTACTGATAATAACTTAAAATTATTAAAAATGTATTTTCCAAACCGCCTTATGGCAAAATCAGGCAATCTATAGAGAATGCCTCTATTCAGCGGGGGATTTTGTGGTCTGTAATGAATATATGTTCGGCGTTTCTCTGCGTGATGGACTAAAAATGAGGATATTCGCAGTAGAACCAGAGTATCATACTATATGTCGGACTTAATGCCTTAAGGCATTCTCTCCCAGTCAATGAGTTTGCATATGTACAGGGTTATTTTGCCACATAGTCAAATTTGCAGAGAAGGTTCAGAATAAGGGAATCCACGACTTTATCCTGCTAACAGGGTGGCGCCACTTATAAATGATAGATTTACGCTGGTATTCTGTGAGAGCGTGGTCCTTCCCCGGTCGAGCCGATCCATTCGTGCTACAACTATACCATTAATATAGCTGCAGCATGGCTCTACCACGTAAAAAAGGTCCCTTAAGGTCTCAGTTATCCAGGTTTCACTGTATTAGTTATGTTTTATATGAATTAGATTAAAATTAAATAAACCAAACCACAGATATTCGTAAAAGTAGAAAAATTATAAAAGAGTTAAAATGTGAAAAAAATTAAAGAGCAAACCACTGACGCATTGTTTTGTGTGTTAAAATAATACTCTAGAAACTGATATGCTTTTATTCAAAACTAACTTCTCAATTAAATGAAATTGTGTAAAAAACCTCAGTGTCAACTAGCGACATCTGGTGATCGAAAAATTATTAGCTCTCATTAAGGACGCCTACCACTCCACGGTCTCTTACAGCAACTCTTTTACGGTGCTAGTTATTAAATTGGAATTTTCTTCCAATTCCTTACCGTCAAGCCAAATCTATATTTTTAATTAAGTTTAGCAAAAAAGAATTTCCCTGTTTACTGATTTACATTACTTACTGTGTATTTAGCTGTAATCAGGAAGATGCTGCTGATATAGGATAGTGGATCATCTTACGCTTCTGTCAGCGTTTTTCGAACATCAAATAAAACAAAATGTAGAATTTATATTAACCTTTATTTTCTCCTATTAAATAATAATTTCTATTAAATAATCATTTCTATTAAATAATCATAATCATCGCTTAACATATCATTGCTTAACATCTTTTCTATAATATCATTTATTATTTTTACTGCGAATCAATTTAAAATAAATTTATTTTTAATGCAGAAAATCATATTATCTAAGTACTACATTTCTCTTTCAACACCGTTTCATTAGCCGTGTAGTGGCGGTCAAGAATATCCACTACCCCATATCCTCCCGTGGGTATCGTAAAAAGCGACAAGGGGAAACAGGCATGAGATGGGCAGTAGCATCTTCCTGATAATAGCCAAAATTACAATAAAAAAACTGCGGTTGCCAACCGGCTCGCCAAGCGTGGCAACTATGGCAAATACCCCCCAATGATTAGAGCAACAAACAGACGGCCCCCAGTCCCCGGCGGCCCCCCTATTCCTGGCTACGGTGGCGACCATGGTAACGGCGGGGCAGGGGGTGCTAAGAATCTCCGGTGGAGGTTCGGTTGCCACCTTAGACGACTCGACCTGGCAACGTACAACGCACGCTCCATGAGGACTGACGAGAAAATCGTGGAGCTGGAAGAAGATATAGACAAGTTGCGCTGGCATATTATAGGATTATCCGTAGTCCGAAGAGAGGGGAGGACACGGTAATCCTCGAATCCGCCAACTTGCTCTATCACCGGGAGGGCGACCATCAGTCCCAAGGAGGTGTCGGATTTATTGTCCACAAGTCTCTCGTTAACAACGTTGTAAAGATCGGGAGTGTGTCGACGAGGGTTGCGTACCTTATACTCAGAATCACCAAACGGTATTCGCTGAAGGTCATACAGGTTTACGCAGCAACCTCGGCACACCCCGATGAGGAGGTGGAGGAAATGTATGAGGATATCTCTAGAGCCATGCATTCCTCCAAAACCCAATATACGGTGTTAATGGGAGACTTCAATGCAAAACTAGGCACAAGAGAGAACGGTGAGCTGAAAGTAGGGAAATTTGGAATAGGCCAACGGAACCCAAGGGGCCAGCAGCTGGCCGACTTCATGGAGAAAGAGGGACTCTTTATGATAAACTCTTTCTTCCAGAAGCAGCCCCACAGGAAGTGGACCTGGTCGAGCCCCGACGGTTCGACAAAAAATGAGATTGACTTCATTATGATGACCAGACGACAACTGTCCAGTGACGTCTCCGTGATCGCGAGGGTGAAAACTGGTAGCGATCACCGAATGGTTAGAGGCACACTGAACCTAAACGTTAAGTTGGAGAGGTCTCGTCTAATGAAGTCTCGAACGAACGGAACGCTCCGTCCTCCTCGTGCTCTGTTCCAAAGTCCCGAAACCTTTCAGCTCGAGTTACAAAACCGTTTTCAGTGCCTAGAAGACTGCAATGAAGTGGACGATATGAATGACAAGCTCGTGGAAACTGTCCATGCGGTCGGAGCTAAGTTCTGCAAGACCCGCCGCAGAAGAACACAAAAACTCTCCGATCACACTCTTAATCTCATGGCTGTTAGCCGGAGATGAAGCTACATTCTTCAACAGATTTTACAGCATACAGGCAACTGAACAGACAGATCTCCAAATGCATGCGGCGGGACTTAAAGAGCTAACTGTCAAAACTGAAGACCGAATGTGGCAGCATCGTTTCTGGGACACCTGAGATTATGAGTGAGATTGAGAGGTTCTATGGGCAGCTGTACACGTCATCGTTGGAGCCACGCGCAAGTGTGAGTAACGATACAAGAGCGAGTCTTATCCGATACTATTCCGAAGATATCCCGGACGTCAGTCTGAGCAAGATTAGAATAGCTCTCCAGCACCTTAAAAACGGCAAGGCGCCAGGCGAGGATGGAATTACAGTGGAGCTTCTGAAAGCGGGTGGAAGACCGGTACTTGAAGTCCTTCAGAAGCTCTTTAATTCCGTCGTCCATGGTAGCATTACACCGGAGGCGTGGAGCAGAAGTGCGGTGGTCTTGTTCTTCAAGAAAGATGACAACGCTCTCTTGAAGAACTACAGACCGATTTCCCTTCTGAGCCGCGTCTACGTGCTGTTTTCAAGAGTCATTACGAATCGTCTCGCGCGCAGACTTGACGACTTCCAGCCTCCCGAACAAGCCGGTTTCCGAAAGGGCTTTAGCACCATACACCACATACTTACCCTTCGGCAAATTGTACAGAAGTCCGAAGAGTACAATTTGCCACTATGTCTGGCGTATGTGGACTATGAGAAAGCCTTTGATTCCGTCGAAATTTGGGCGGTGCTGCAGTCAGCAGTATATCGAAGTGCTGAAGTGTTTGTACAGTAGAGCTACGATGGCTATCCGAGTACAGAACCAGAGTACGAAACCTATCCAATTGCAGAGAGGTGTAAGACAGGGTGATGTTATATCCCCGAAACTTCACCGCTGCATTGGAAGACGTTTTCAAGCTTCTAGACTGGAAAGGATATGGTATTAACATCAATGGCGTGTACATCACTCACTTTCGATTTGCCGACGATATAGTCCTTATGGCAGAATCCCAACGGATAGGTCTTAAGATGAACATGGACAAAACAAAGATTATGCTTAATGTCCATGTCACACCTATGCTGGTAGTTGTTGGGAGCACTAAGCTCGAAGTTGTTGACGTGTATGTTTACCTGGGACAAATAGTCCGACTAGGTAAGTCCAATTTCGACCGAGAGGTCAATCGACGGATTCAACTCGTCTGGGCAGCGTTCGGGAAGCTACGACACATCTTCTCGTCAGACATACCTCAAAAACTTAAAACGAAATTGTACAACCAGTGCGTGTTGCCAGTGATGAGTTACGGAACTGAGACGTGGTCCTTCACTGCTGGCCGTATGAGGAAGCTCAAGGTCGCTCAGCGAGCTATGGAGAGGGCTATGCTCGGAGTTTCTCTGCGTGATAAACTTAGGAATGAGGATATCCGCAGTAGAACCGGAGTAACCGACATTGCCCAACGGATTAGTAAGCTGAAGTGGCAGTGGGCCGGCCATATAACTTGAAGAACCGACAACCGATGGGGAAGAAAAGTTCTTGAATGGCAGCCTCGTACCGGTAGGCGAAGTGTAGGGCGACCCCCCACGAGATGGAGTGACGACCTGGTAAGACATGCAGGAAGTCGATGGATGCAGGTGGCTCAGGACCGTGCTTTGTGGCATTACTTGGGAATATTTAATTGAACAGTCCACCTGTGGGTAAGTGGTTACTTCAAACAAAAATGGTCACAGGGGCATTGTCATTGTCACGTACGACGGCTAAGATGAAATTGCTTACAGTCTGTAATCACACTGGCTGTGGATACTGTTGTTAGCAGAAATAGATGAGAGTGATACCAATCCAGATGGACTTCGAGTCAGAAAGACCCTACCATCAATTACATACCCGTACATGGGGAAGTGAATTACGTACATGGGAAAGTGAAGAGAGAGGAATTTAAAAGGGAAAATGAAATTAAATATCAAGGTTTTCTATTCGGTAATACGAATTTTAGGAAGGCTCATTTGGTTCATTTGATACATTGGTTTATTTGGTTCATTGGTTCATTTGGATACGCGAGATGTGTTTTTGAGAAACATGTCTTCTCATATTCCTTTTTGTATTCGTGATAAATTCACAGAACTCACATTTCAATCGTTCATACGCTGTGTGTGTAGACAGGTGATGGATTAATTTAGTTTTATCTGTGGTCTTGTAACCACAATGATTGCAGTGCAGTACGTTTATTATAATTTTATGAACGACCCTCTGATGTCTGACGAGGTAGTATTTCTTGTGGGTCGAGTAAGAACACATTTCACAATTATAAATGTTAGATGTGTTATGTTTCCACATGTGTCTATGGAAAAGGAAGTCGCTGCTTGTTGTGAATAAACATTGGGTACATTTAAGTTTATTTTGGCCGTGTACAGTTATTTTGTGTCTGCTTAAATTGTATCTTGATTGGAAATGTTTACTACATTGTTCACAATAGTGTGAATTAGATAGCAGTGCATGGCCATAGTTTTCGGAACTTGTGTTTATCTTGAAACTTTGGATTTCACCAACGTGCTCTAATTTCTTATCAATGTTGTAACCAGTTCCGTCTCCTACTCCATCTTCAGTTTCTTCAATTACTTCATTTGACATTTCGTTTCCGTAGGCTGTATTCATTGAGTGCATTTGACTTTCATTTATTTGGTATGAGTTATAAAGGTTTACATCCTGTATCCTGTTTGTTTCATTTGTGTCTAAAGTAAATAGCTCATTATTTATATGTGTACCTCTTTCGACTATAGTTGGATCAAATTTAGCAATGTTTTCATGATTTCTTCTTAAATTGTTAAAAGTTTCTAGAAAGAAACAATTAGCAATTAATTCGATATATTTTAAATAGGTATTACACTTGTTAATAAAGCAACAAATAAATAAAACTTGCCTAAAATCTCGCGACTGTATTCGTCAGAATTATAAATCCTTAGGTTAATATTAAGTAAATTTGCCATTTCGCTACCGTAAAACACCAACAATTCAGCAAACTGCGGAATAATCTTGATTGTTCTGTAAAAAAAAAAAATAAAGCTACGAACAGAAGTTCTAAATTAGAATAACGCTACACTAAAGTGACAAATAACTAACAGATGTAGAAAGTCGATAGATACATGTGCCTTGTGGCATTCCTTGAGAGTGGCCTATGTTCTACAGTGAACTCGTGAAGGACTGTAATGATGTTGATGAAGAAAGTAACGAACATTTTATTTTTTATGTTAATGTTTGATCTAGAGAGTACTTGTTTTTTTTTTTAAATACAACCTTAGATATCAAATTTTTCGGCATCAGATATAGAAAGTTAATTTTACTAGTTTATATTCTTGTTGTATAGACCGCATTTTGATTCTTAATCGAGGATAGATGTAAGACCACAGCATCCACTTGCCATCAGGTGGTAGGTATGTGTTCTCGTGTGTCATCCTTACTTCTATACAAAAAAAAAACTTGTAATGGATATCATTATTAAGGACCTGTAATAAATATGGCCCTTATATTGATATGCGAGTAGATTCTGCTCGAGCCAGTGTCGGGAGCAGTTGACGTATCGCATCCAGTTGGCGCGGTTATCGTCTGCCGCGTCCACTACATAAGCCGGCTGGTTTCGTCCGTTGTAGATCTAAGGAACAGGTCCATTTGTTAATGTTGCTAGTGTGACATTGTTGTGTTGTTGTCGTCGTCTTTCTAACTGTGTTACGACAGTAGCGGTAATTGATATTTTTTTTTAATACCAGAGTGTAATAGCAGTATATACAGGTTTATTTTTCAATAACTGGCCAAATTTGCAGAGAAGGTTCAGAATAAGCAATATACGCAAATGACAAGAAAAAGTAATTTAAAAAAATGTCAATAATTCTGTCCTTTTTTCTTAGAAATTTAAAAAGCGTGGTAATGCATTATTTTAACTGATTTTACTGCGCACGCACACGTCAGTAAGAGTCGATCAGTAGGCAAAACGTTGTTGCCCATAACCCCATAAGTTACATTTAATTTGGGATCATTAAAAAAAAATTGAAGCCCTATTTAATCGTATTTTCTAAAGCTGCAATAACGGTATATCATTATTTACGAGTATATATTTAAACTTAAGTTTAAAATTTGGCTACTGATTGAAAAATAACCCTGTATAGACGTGGGGCTAAGCGCTCGTTATGAATTTCACAGTACGCTTTACGTGGTAGAGTCATGCTGTAACTATATTAGTAGTATAGTTGTAGCACGAATGGGTCGGCTCGACCGGAGAAGGTCCACGCTCTCACAGAATACAAGCGTAAAATAGCAGCTTGGTGCTGCTGTGCTTCTTGTGGTGAGTGTAGAGAACCGGAGACCCTTTTTACTGGAAGAGAGGCATTCGATCTTAGTTCTCACGGCTGACAACGCATCTGCATTTTAATTCGCTAACGAAGATAGATGCAGATGTCTATGGGCCACGGCAGCCACTTGCCATCGGGTGGACTGTGTGCTCGTTTGTCACCCTATCCTATTAAATTAAAAAAAAAACGCGAGCCACCCGGGATTGTGTGCGAAATTGTTATTTGCAATATGATGTGCTGCTTACCATGTGCTTGGCGGTGAAGAAAAACATCGTGAGGTAAACTGCATGTTTGAATAAATAAAAAAAATATTTCGAAAACGTGAAGTCCGCTAACACGCTCAGGGGCAGACCTTTCCTTGCCCTAAACTCTCAGGAATGAGAAGGAGCATGTGCCCAGCAGTGGGACGTAGTAGGTTGTAACTTTTAACTTCAATGGATTCGTACTGTTGTATTTTTGCTAGTGTCAAGTCATAAAAATATCTTTTATAATAATTTGATTAAAAACTTCCTCACAATATGTTGGTGTGTCATATTGCGAAGTTTTTTGAAGACTGACGGCAGCTTGAGTGACCACACTCAGAGTTGTAGCATGGACTAATATAGACGTGGGCGAAGTTGCATCAGCGAGGCCCCTTTTCTCTCGTTACCAAGATCTATCCAATAGATCTATCCCACCAAACATGGCATAGCTACACTCATAGCTATTAATTCCTGACAAGTCTCGTATTCCGTCAACCTAACAGTCGCGGTCTTTGAAGGTAGTTACAACGGCCTCGCAGTGGCACGGAGAGGGGCTTCTTGCGAGGCTCCAAAGCTTTTAAATTTGTAAAAATCGTAAACGTGATCAAATTAATTAGTCATCTGCGGTAAAGTCTGGGGGCATCGCATTAAACAGAAACAAGAAAAAAATTAAAACACAGCACTCTTCCTCGCATATAAAGGGGCCTCGCAAGGTCTAGCTACGCCTCTGACCACACTCGATGAATTTGTGTATCCTAGCAACGCAAAGTCGGGAATTTGCATTTGGATAAATCCCAAATTAGGGGCTTTTTAGGTGCTAATTAAGTACCAAGTTTAAAAATTAGGTGCTCTAAAATTTTCACCGCAACGACCTATTGAAATTTGCGTTGCTAGCAAAACGTCTTGCTAGCAACGCAATTAAGTTATTAGATATACGATAAATATTAATAGCAAGGAATTAAGTGCTAATTAGGTGCTGCAAGTATACGCAATAACAAGGCGCCCCTAATAAAAATAAAGTCGTTATTCCGAAAATTATTCAGCAAGGCAATTTTTTTTATAGGATAAGGGTGACAAACGAGCACACAGTCCACCTGATGGTAAGTGGTTGCTGTAGCCCATAGACATCTACATCTATCTTCGATTAAGAATCAAAATGCAGATGCGTTGTCACCCGTAAGGACTAAGATGGAATGCCTCGTTTCCAGTAAAAAGGGTCTTCGGTTCTCTACACTCACCATACGAAACACAGCAGCGTTAAGCTGCTATTTTACGCTGGTATTCTGTGAGAGCGTGGTCCTTCCCCGGTCGAGCCGACGCATTCGTGCTACAACCATAATATAGCTGCAGCATGGCTCTACCACGTAAAAAATTAGGTCTCTGTGTTTGTGCCATCTAGCGTCTATCCTACTTACCACCTTGAGAGTCCATCGATTTTGATTTGATAAAATGACTAGAACTATAGAACGTTGTAGATCGCGCTATTTATTACAAAGCAATTTACTGGAAAGAAAATATCCTTTCGAGTACACTAAAGTTTAGGCTTCACATGTCTAAAAATAAGAATTGTAACATTTATTTGGTTGAAAATTATATTAAATAATATTATAAATCTATAATATAATTTTCAACCAATTTTCAACCATTTTCAAATATAATCATTTTAAATCTGAAAAACAGAAAATGCCGTTCATACCTTATAGTAAGGTAATGGTGGTTTTAAATCCGATAATTTCCGGAATATTACCGTCACCTACATGCGACAAACAAAAAATACTGTTCATACATTATAGTAAGGTAATGGTGGCCGTGGACCCCATAATTCCCAGAATAATATCGCAATTTGTATCGGGTTTCGATAATCGATCTGCAGCACTTAATTATCACATAATTCCTTGCTATTAATATTTATCGTATATCTAGTAACGTCATCAGCGTTGCTAGCGATACGTTTTGCCAGCAACGCAAATTTCAATGGTTCGTTGCGGTGAAAATATTGGAGCAACAAATTTTTAAACTTGGTACTTAATTAGCACCTAAAAATTAATTTGGACCCCTAATTTGGACTTTTTCTGAAAGCAATTTTTGATTCTATTTTGATTTTCAGGAAATCTGAATTTTGCATCTGCTATGTTCTGAATAACGACTTTATTTTTATTAGGGGCGCCTTGTTATTGCGTATATTTGCAGCACCTAATTAGCACTTAATTCCTTGCTATTAATATTTATCGTATATCTAATAACTTCATTGCGTTGCAAGCGAGACGTTTTGCTAGCAACGCAAATTTCAATAGTTCGTTGCGGTGAAAATTTTAGAGCATCTAATTTTTAAATTTGGCACCTAATTAGCACCTAAAAAGCCCCTAATTTTGGATTTTTCCAAATGCAAATTCCCGACTTTGCGTTGCTAGCGATACACAACTACTCGATGACGCCATCGGCATCTCAAGACGCCTAAGCAGGCCCATTATCTTGAGGTTCACATCACCGTCGGAGGACTTGTTTGATCGTTTCCACAAGAATTTCACATGCGCAGACATTTAATACCTACACAAAATCGCATCACTTTTACGTATCAAAAACACTTTAGACCATTATTTATACAATAAAACCGGAACAGCAATCCGCCGTCGGTCAAGTACCCGCCAAGAACTTTGTTACATATTTACAATGATTAAAAAGATATATGTAATGATATCTAACCTGCCAAGAGTATATCGAGGTCACCTCCCTGGTAATTATACCGCGGTACGGACCAAAACGTACGCCAGCGGGCAAAGGTAACGTCGCGAACACTCCTACACCAGCTCCTACCAAATGATTGAGTCAATAAATGGTCAAGTGTCAAGTAAATAAGCAAGTATTTGGTCTAGCAAATATTCGAGTAAAAAAGCAAATAAAAAGTCAAGTAAAAATGAAGTAATGGATTATTTTATGCAGTCACCACGCGGCACACTGGCCGCGTGTTAATTGGGGTTTTAGTTTTTTTGCGCTGAACCCTAATTCGATTTCTAAAATAAAAGTAGCCTAAGTTACTCCTTATGACATCAGCCAGTGAAGTAACATTTTGAAAACAAGTCGAGTGTAAAAACGGAAGAGGAGCAATCAAACGATGCAATCCTGCGCGAGTTACAAGTGGTAAAATTAAAAAATTTGTACAACCGACTTCAATATAAATATAATTTATTGTTGACTTTTTTAAAAACCGCTTGACTGATTTCGATAATATTTAAATGGGGCCACCTGGAAAGTATTTTTTTTATAGGATAAGTGTGACAAACGAGCACACAGTCCACCTAATGGTAAGTGGTTGCTGCGGCCCATAGACATCTACATCTATCCTCTATTACAAATCAAAATGTAGATGCGTTGTCACCCGTGAGGACTAAGATGGAGTGCCTCATTTCCAGTAAAAAGGGCCTCCGGCCACCTGCACTCACCAAGCGAAACGCAGAGGTAAACCTCTACTTCACGCCGGTTTTCTGTGAGGTCGTGGTACCACCCCGGTTCGAGCCGGCCCACCCGTGCGACAGCAAAAACTGCCGTGTGGCTCTACCACTGTTAAAACTGGTATACCCTTTGAAACAAAAAAAGAATTTTCCAAATCGGTTCAGACGTCTTCGAGTAATCGGTGAACATACATAAAAGAAAAAGATTCCGACGAATTGTAAACCTCCTCCTTTTTGAAGTCGGTTGAATAATAATCGATACCCAAAAATACAAATGCATTTTGTAATTTGTCGCTTACAGATCTAGAATCACGCGGCATCGTATCAGCCGCTGTAAAGAAATGGGTAACACCCGGCTTTTGTAGCGATCAAAACTATTAGACTTATACTTTTGTTACGTGGTAGAGCCACGCTGCAGCTGTATTATGGTTGTAGCTCGAATGGGTTGGCTCGACCGGCGAAGGACCGCGCTCTTACAGAAAACCAGCGTAAAATAGCAGCTTAATGCTACTGTGTTTCGTATGGTGAATGTAGAGAACCGGAGATCCTTTTTACTGGAAACGAGGGATTCTATCTTAGTCCTCACGGGTGACAACACATCTGCATTTTGATTCGTAATCGAGGATAGATGTAAACGTCTATAGGTCACAGTAACAGCAACCATTTACCATCAGGTGGGCTGTGTGATCGTTTGCCACCCACAAAAAAAACAAACACACATGTTGTTTTTTTTTTGCAAATTTATGTCACTGTACCTTTTAAATAATATCTGTCCATACCCTCCTTTTATAATAAATCCTGAAACGTTTCTACGTCACGTGGTTATATAATAAGATTATGTAACGGTTAGGAAACCGCAATGCGGACGGAACAATTTAATCTGTCGCAGCGTGACCGACGAAAGATAATGTTGTTAAATACGACTCCTGTCAGATTATACCACAATATGTAGCACATGAACAAAATTTTTGCATTTTGATTTTTAATTGAGTATAAATGTAGATGTCTATGGGCCAAAGCTTCCACATCAGGTGGACTGTGTGCTCGTTTGTCACCCTTATTTAAAAAAAATACTTTTGGATTTGATTTCCTGATATATGGCGGTTTAACCTTTTCTTTAGGCCAACAGTAAAATACTTAAGTCGGGGACGGGGGCAGTGCAATCAAAAAAATGCATAGAAGTCTATGATCAAGCACTTCAAGCATAATATTGGTAGTAGAGTTTCTCTTACCTGGTATAATTGAAGGAGCGAGATGTAGGAAGGCATTCGGAATGGTGAGAGCAGCTCGTGGCACGTAACACGGGAAGCTAAACTTAGTCGGAACCTAGGTTGAAATATATTACAATAGACGTTTTAATGTCGTAGTAAATCACTCAAGTGTTGTAGATATAATGTATAACATAGTGCGCGAGTAACCCAAGTTCGATCCACGGCATCAATGTGAAATTCATTCATTTATTAAAGCGTCATATGTCCAATGCTGAACATAGGGTTCCCTCACAGACCGGCGTATAGGTGGGACATATGCCACAGTTGCTTGTAATGCGATTTGCAAGATTTTCGGATAAAATATTGGTTAGGCCACGCCTGGCATGGCTGTCTATCTGTTGGACAAGTTTCTTTGTAATCGGTTCAGTCATTCCGCATATTAGCCCGGACAGACAGACATACATACAGACAAAACTTTTAAAAATAGTGCAAATAGTTAACTCCCTGAGCTTAAAGACTGTTATTTCAACTGACACTTCAATTTTAGATATTTGTATGTATAGACTAGTTGACTAGGCAGACGTTGCGTCGTTCTGCCTCTGCTCTTTGTCCAAAAAAATCCTTGAATTTGCAATAAAAGATATGCGTATTGAGGGTTGGGATATCGGGATAAAATCTATCCTATCTCTCAAATTGGAGCAAGCAATACACATTTACAAAATTTCATTGAAATCACTTCAGTAGTTTACGAGTTCATCGCGGATAAACAATGTGACACGTAATTTTTATACAGCGTTACTTTTAGAGTAGCCAAATTTTAAACTTAAGTTTCTAAATAAAAGATATACCATTATTGCAGTTTTTGAAAACGAGTAAATATGGCTTCTATTTTAGTTTGAAATTATCCCAAATTTAATGTGATTTATGGGCGACAACGTTTTTGCCTTCCGAACGGCTCTTACAAATGTGTGCGTGCGCAGTAAAATCAGTTAAAATAATGCATTACCACGCATTTTGTATTCAAAAGATAAAAAGGACAGAATTGAGATATTTTTAAATTAATTTTTCTTCACCATTTGCCTATACTACTTATTCCGAGCCTTCTCTGCAAATTTTGTCGGTTATTTCAAAATAACTCTGTATATAAAGATATATCTTATCAGGGAATACTCACCTCATTGTCAGGTATTACAAGAAGTGGGCCGTGTATGGAGCAAAATTCATATACATAGTCTCCGCACTGCGAGCAAACTGATAGAAAAAAAATATCTTTTAGTGTGTCGTATCCACCTATAAAGGGTAGGTGGTAGGGTCACGCTGCAGTTTTACTTATCGTAGAGATATTCTGTGAGAACGTGGTCCTTCCCCGGTCGATCCGAACCATTCGTGCTTCTACCATTATAGAGCTGCAGCATGCCTCTACCACGTAAATATATATAATAACTAGCTGACCGTTGACGTTGTTCTGCCCTCTCCGACGACCACGACCTTGTGTCCTATAAAAATTCTTAAATTCGTAATAAAAAATATTGAGGGTCACTTATCGGGATAAAAACTATCCTATCTCTCAAGTTGGACCAAACTGCACACAGTGTGCAAAATGTCATTGCAATCAGTTCAGTAGTTTAGGAGTTCATCGCGGACAAACAATGTGACACGTAATTTCTATAATATAAAAATGAATCGCTGAATGTGTTGCTAAGCGCAAATTCTTTTTTTATAACATACCTTGAAGTACGAACATGGTTCTTACGGAGAGAAAAATTTAAAAATTGCCTGAAAAAGTCTAAAAAGAACACTTTTCTATATTCCCATACAAAAGATTCGTAATAATACTTAAAAGTCAATTTGAACTTTAATACCATAATATAAAGTTTAAGTGTTAGTGGAGGGGTTCCGGGAAGGCAAAACAATTTAGTGACGTTAGTATCGTATAAATATTAATGTCAAGTTTTATCAATAGTTTTTACTTTTTGACATAATGTAATTGTTGACTTATCAACTTTCTTTTTTCTTTTTTATCTTACTAGCTGACCCGGTGTCCCGAAATGCAGAATTAGTATTTAAAAGAAATAATTAAAGAATCGACTGTTAGGCAGTACGAAGTTCGCCGGGTCAGCTAGTTTTTATATATAAAGATAATTAGGTGGATTTCACGCGAGCTACCCGGGTTCGATCCCCGCCGGCACCATTGAAATTGTTAGTCGCAATTTTAAGTGCTGATTTACCACGTGCTCGGCGGTGAAAGAAAACATCGTGAGAAAACCTGTATGTCTGAGAAATAAGAAAAAAGTTTCAAAGATATGTGAAGTTTGCCAACACGCATTGGGGCAGCGCGGCGGACTGTTACTCGCTCTAAAACCCTCTCAGAAATGAGGGGAGATCTGTGTCCAGCACTGGGACGTATATAGGCTGCAACTTTAGTTATGTGATAGAGCTCTTTCATTCTTCTTTTGTCCAGAAGTCCGTGTGGGCTGGAAACGCACGCTTACCTATCTGCCTTCCTTACCTGCCTGCCTTACCGCCTTCTACCGACAGCAGTGCAGTTACCGCTGTGTTTTGGTTTGTACAGACTACAGAGCTACTATAATTAATAAACATAGGCACTTAAAATTGACTGATCTAATGGTCTAGTACCATAAACGCGACTGATAATTATGTTGTTTTTTTTTTATAGTACAAGGGCACAAACGAGCACACAGTCCATCTGATGTTAAGTGGTTGCTGTGGCCCAAAGACATCTACATCTATCCTCGTTTGCGAATTAAAATGCAGATGCGTTGTCACCCGTGAGGACTAAGATGGAATGCCTGTTTCCAGTAAAAAGAGTCTCCGGTTCTCTACACTCACCATACGAAACACAGCAGCTTGTGCTATTTGCTACGTGGTTTTCGATCTCCAACCAAAACTCAGTTGTTGGGTTTTTATGGCAAGAAATTATTGGCAGTAGCAGTCCGGAGTCAGGAAAGTTGTTTGTCTCACCCCGCTCAGAAAGCACGCAAAGCCGCTGGTGCAGCGCTCGATCTCTCTCCGGTCGTATCGGATTGTCATCTCATCCAACTATGAAAGTGGGTGATTTTAGCTCTCAGGACAGGAGTATCAACGCATCTGTATTTTGATTCTTATTTGAGGAATGATTTTTTTTTATAGAAGAGGGGGCAAACGAGCATGCGGCTCACCTGATGGTAAGTGACTACCGCCGCCCATGAACAACCGCAACACCAGGGGAATTGCAGATGCGTTGCCGGCCTTTTAGAAAGATGTAAGCTCTTTTCTTGAAGGTTCCTAAGTCGTATCGGTCCGGAAAAATCGCTGGTGATAATTGATTCCACAAGGAAGTTGTGCGAGAGAGAAAACATGTACATAACTATTGCCTACAGCATCCACTTATCATCAGGTAAACTGTTTCGTCTCTTGCCACCTTATGTCTCTTGCCTTTATTCTCTTATTCCATATAATTTGAAATCTATAATAATAATAAAAAATTAAACCAAAAACTTAATTATCATATAGTCCTACTCCCCGCGGTATCGTGCCCAGAACGCTGTTCCCCATTGAATGGCTATACTTAGCCTTTGAGCCAGAAAAGAACCAGCCCTCTTATTACCAGAAGCAACGACCAGCCGCGGATGGAGTTCCTTTAGGAACTTCATTTGAAATTAAAAGTTTTGTACAACCGACTTCAATATACATTATTAAGAATAACTCAAAAACTATTGGTCAGACCTTGATCAACCATGATTTACATGGGACCACATGTGAAGCACCAGCTTTCAAATAAGAAAAAAGAATCATCAAAATCGGTTCTCCCAGTAAAAAGTTATAAGGTAACACACATAAAAAAATATACAGTCGAATTGAGTACCGTCTCCTTTTTGAAGTCGGTGGAAAAAGGTAGGGTCCCAAGTTCCTTGGGGGACTGTTTCGAACCGGCATATGATAGAAATGTTGCTATTTGCCTTGCTTCTAAAATATTATAGCTATCAGTACTAATTTATAAATATTCCTTATAGATAGGTACTAACAAATATTGTCGTCGAAGCTTGGTGTATCACGTTCGTAAAAATTTATACGGGGTTGGTCGAGCTCACTCATTGTTCGTCTTCTTGAAGGGTTGACTGTAAAGACATACGTTCTGGTAAACACATAGATAATAAATATTATGTACTATTGAACTGTTTTTTTTTCATTAGAGAAGGCGTGTTTTTACTAATACCCACGGCATAAACGCCTTCTAGCTAAACATTGGCGCATACGAGGTAACCGGCTATTTTTTTATTTCTATTTTTATAGGACAGGGTCACAAACGAGCACACATTCCACCTGATGGTAAGTGGTTGCAGTGGCCCATAGACATCTACATCTATCCTCGTTTGCGAATTAAAATGCAGATGCGTTGTCACCCGTGAGAACTAAGATGAAATGCCTCTTATCCAGTAAAAAGGGGGGTCTCCGGTTCTCTACACTCACCATACGAAACACATTAGCGTTAAGTTGTTATTTTACGCTGGTATTCTGTGAGAGTGTGGTCCTTCCCCAGTCGAGCCAACCCATTCGTGCTACAACCAGGGATTGAATAACCGCAAAAATTATGGTTAAAACGGTTAGCGCTATGACGTCATTCCTTTTTTTAGAAACAGAAACAGAAACTTTTTTATTCATTATAGATTATGAATAATACTTATTGAAAGTCACTCTTTTGTTTGATTACCACTGGTTCGGAAAAAACTTCTGTCCTGGGAAGAACCAGCAAGAAACCCAGCGGGACTTTTTTTTAAATAACAGCTTACAATCATGATGTTACACAAATTAACAACACAACAAATTAGAAATAGCTTGGTAGCGATCACCTCATTCCCAGGGGTTATTATCATCCATAAATTCCTTAATATTATAATAACCCTTTTTATACAAACTTAGTTTAATAAAGTTTTTGAACTTTGAACAGGTCAAACTTTGTATATTTTCTGGAATTTTGTTGTAAAAGCGTATACATCGCCCCAAGAATGAATTACTGACTCGATGGAGTCGAGTAACTGGTACTACTAGCTTGTGTCTATTCCTAGTATTTACAGAATGAATATCACTTATTTTTGTAAAACTACTTTTATTTTTGTGTACGTACATTACATTTTCATAAATGTATTGAGAGGCCAAAGTTAATATATTACTTAATTTCCTTAAATTTTTGTCGCAGCGACTATTTAGGCTTTAAATCATAAATTGCTCTTATGGCCCTCTTCTGCAAAACAAATAAAATTTCAGTGTCAGCTGCGTGTCCCCATAGCAAAATACCATACGACATTATGCTATGGAAGTAGCTGAAGTAAACTAGTCTAGCTGTTTCAACACTGGTTAGACTTCTAATCTTTTTTACAGCATATGCTGCAGAACTAAGTCTGCTTGCTAGTTTTGATATATGTGGGCTCCATTGAAGCTTCGCGTCTAGTGTGATTCCAAGAAAAATGGTGATATCTACAAGACTCGGTTTCTCCCCATTTAAAATTACATTAGTATTTAATTGTTTGACATTTGGAGTCACGAATTTCATACATTTTGCTTTAAATTTCGATACCTTAAAATAACTGTACCTGTATGATTTCGATATTGTAATATTGCGGTATCATTACTTTTTCAAGTATCTAAATTATAAAATAAAGGTTTTCTTTGTACTCTGCCGCCCGCGCCGATGCTTCGCGTGGCGTGACGGCCGCAATGGTAAGAGAGAAGGTACTTGATCGAATATTTACTGATATTCGTTATTCGCGCCTCGGCAGCAAGACAAAGCAAGTTGTTTTGCCATTTTGCCGCCATTCATGTTTCCGCGTCTACTTTGTTTATCAACTTAATCACAAGTGTGCTTTGTTGAAACTTTACAACTAGATTTTTGCTAAGATGGATAAAAGTAAAGTACAAACTCATTAAGCATGTCTTATCCGATTCGTATGCGACACCAATTATTGACAACACAAATATTTCGTGACACGCCTGTCGTGTCAAGCGCCATATAAGTAAGCCGCTGCCGTTGCGTCGCGCGCTCTTCATCGCACTATTTTTTTCGGTACCGAAATTATTTCGATAAAGGTATTAATAATATATAGGTATAACGATACCTTAAAAAAATATATGTATAATTATTTTTTTAACGGTACCACAACCGTAATATTCAACCGTTTTGATTCTACCTTTAAATCGAAGCTGTATCGTAATTCTATATCGGTACCATACCCTTATACCTTTACCGCTTTCAACCCCTGGCTACAATTATACTACTAATAGCTGCAGCATGGCTCTACCACGTATAAAAATTAGGCTTAGAATTATATGGTGTCAACGCCAGGATGTTGGGTTCCATCCATCCATTAGAACCTATAAATGTCCACTGTTAAACATAGTTCTCACAGAAGGGATTTTGCCATAGTTGCCACGCTTGGCAGAGAGGTTGCAAACAGCAGTTTTTATTATTTTCGGTTATTATCAGGAAGATGCTGCTGCCAATCTACTGTTTCAGCTACGGTCTGTCGCCTCTTACGATTAAAAAAAACGTCAAGTACGTGTCGGGCCACGCACAATGTAGAATAGGAGGATAGAAGTAGTGTTACGTAGTTAAGCGTCAGAATACATGAATTTAGAAAGGGCCTTCTTGATAATATGAACATATTTGATGAGTTCATGGGAGATTACGACACATCTTCTCGTCAGGCATACTTCAAAACCGCAAAACTAGATTGTACAATCAGGGCGTGTTGGCAGTGAAGACTTATGAATCTGAGACACGATCCTTCTACGTGGTACTGCTGACCGTATGAGGAAGTTCAAGGTAGCTCAGCGAGCTATGGAGAAAAATGAGGATATATCCGCAGTAGAACCAGAGTAATCGGCATAGCCCAACGGTTTTTATAATTATTATTAGTAAACTGAAGTGGCAATAGGCCGGCCATATAGTTCGAAGAACCGATCACCAATGGGAAAGAAAGATTCTCGAGCGGCAACCTCGTACCGGTAGACGAATGTAATTGTGTTGTGCACTGAAATTATAAATTTAGTTTATTTTGTTATATTTTCCTTTTTGCACACTATACTCAATCATACGAGTAAGTGATCAAACGGCTATGATTCTGTAGTATAATTGTTAGTAGTCTATGACTATGATCATTTGTATGACAAAATCAAACTAACGGCTTTCATCATCATCATCATCATTACTGCCCTTCACAAGTCCACTGCTGAACATAGGCCTCCCCCAAAGAATGCCACAAAGCACGGTCCTGAGCCACCTGCATCCATCGAATTCCTGCATGTCTTACCAGGTCGTCACTCCATCTCGTGGGGGGACGCCCTACACTTCGCCTACCGGTACGAGGCTGCCACTCGAGAACCTTTCTTCCCCATCGGTTGTCGGTTCTTCGAGCTATATGGCCGGCCCACTGCCACTTCAGCTTACTAATCCGTTGGGCTATGTCGGTCACTCTAGTTCTACTGCGGATATCCTCATTCCTAAGTTTATCACGCAGAGAAACTCCGAGCATAGCAAAGCATATAACTAACGGCTTTAGCATCACCAAATAGCGTCCGACTCATTCCTCGTTAATATTGTGTATGAGTAACTCACCTCCAACACCTTAGTTAGTAATGCCTTTTAAGATTATAATGAAAAAATCTTCAGTACTAACTATAAATATTAATAAATGTTACTATTATTTTCCGATGAGACAAAATATGTATATGATTAACAACGGCGCCAGTTATTTGCAATGATTAACCTCTTAGGATTTAACTACTTAATAACCAGCCGTCGGAGGTCAAGTTCCCGCCAAAACTGTGTTTCCACTTTAAAGGTTTTAGTTCGCAAGGCCTCGGTTTTCCACTTTTTTAGACCCTATTTTCTCTTGAGAATTATGTCGTAAAATTCGGTCAATTTTTAATTTTTATTTTTGAAGTCATATACTTCTTTTGGGGCGTTTGGGAAAAATGATGAGAGTGAATTTGAACGATGCGCGCGCACACCGACACTTAAAAACGATACAATGAAGTTCTTACGATGCGCGCGCACACTGATATTTTCACCTGCTAGCGAGGTAGCACCTAAAAGCGACAAATTCAGTGGGTTTTGTCTCTTAAGTTTTTTTTTGTTTGTTACGTTAAAGAAGTATAACTTCCTACGTGAGTACATACAGTATGCGCGCGAGTCCTCGAGTCAGAGTTGTCCATCGGGGCCAGAGGCGACGCGCGGGGGCATTTCGATTTTCGTCCCGCCCTTTCCTCTAAAGAATAATATTTTAAAAATATTTAACATTATTTTAATTTAATACACCTTTATATTTTATGCCACACTTGTGGTTATGGTTAGTGATTATATTATACCCCTATGCCAAAGGAAATTATCCCATATCTAGAAATCGGGTATAGTTTTTCAGAATCGGGGAAATAAACTTTCCTTCATAATTTTCTCAGTTTTATTTTACATACCAAAAATAACATTCTATTAAATACACAATAAGATCTAAAATAGTTTATTTTAAAAACAGAGCAACACAACAAAGTAATAATAAAATTATTCTACTTAGACTGGATATTGAAAATTATGTGTTCTGTAATAAATCGTATGGTACTACTAATAAAGATTAATATTAAAAATATTAAGCGTAAGCGTATCACCTTTTCGTTGTAAAGTAGTTGTAATATCTGTTTTAGCTATATATTCTATCGCGCTCAAGGTTTGTTCGGTATCCGAATCAGTGTATATATTTAGATATTTTACGTTTCGGTTTTGAGTAGATATTAGATATTCTGCGATGACCCATATCAACACCGTATTTTAAAATCGTAATATCTAATACATAGTTTGTCGTCGGATATATAGATGTTGGATAATATTGTACTGATATATAGATATTGTATCTATATACGATTTGTATCGCCCACTCCTAGTCTGCAGTCAAGTGTTGTCTTTCGGTTTATACAAAGGTACTCTGTGGTGTTGTCCTTGACGATTATGACACGCGCTTATCGATACCGAAAATTAGTCCCTATTGTATTATTTTATTGTGAATAAACTATGACTACTCCGCTTCCAGCAAGTTCAGGTAGAAAAA